GCTACCATCTGCAACTTTAGATGCGTTCCTTCTCTAACACACCTGGATCATTGTCTCATTATAAGCCTCTAGAGAACTGAATGAGGGAAGTCAACCTTTTGTCTGGTGTGTTTTAGCAGGGATGCATCTAAAAGTTGCAGTCTGGAGGACTGGACCTGGGCCCTCCTGATTTGTACCGTCAATGTGGCCCGTTGAGGGGGACCAATATGCTGAAGTGGCCCTCGGTGAAATTGAGTTTGACACCCCTGAGCTAGAGCCTCTGCTTCCAGAACCAGAACCGGTTCTGGCCCGACTTCGGAACTTCTTAACAGTCACGGAACCAGCAGCTGGTTCTGTTCCATCTGGACTCATCCAGCTGGTCTCGGTTCGGCCCGTCCTCCAGAGGTGCAGCGGAACCTCCCCCCTCCCCCGCCGCTACGTATGAGCCGTCACGGTGCAGACAGAGGTTGGAAACATGGCGGCGGACGGGATGGTTCTCACCAACCACGACCATCAGACCCGAGTGGGAATCCTGACTGGTAGGTTCGCAGTTCCGACCCGAAGCAGCCCGGTTCGCTGCGGACCGGAGCCGTTTTATGGCGGCTGTCACGATCCGGGCTGCGAGCTCTGCGGAGCGGCGGTTAGCAGCAGCGAGCTAACCGGCGGTTCGGGCTGAGCTCTGGGTTCGGTTCGGACACATGCGGGCTCGGTTCGTCTGGGATTGGTTTCATATCTGTATGGAAACGTCAGTTATTCAAAGAAATTTGTGTTTGGAGCAGAAATGTGAGCGGATTGGGATATTTCATTTAGGCAGACAGACGGGAGAAGAAACCCCGGTTTGGACTTTCAAAACAAAAGGCGAGCGCCTCCTCCTGCGGGCTGGGGCCATTAGAAATCCCTGGCAGGCTTTTATTTTGAAACGTTCCGCTGTGCTGAACGGATCCAGCTTGGTTCAGGTTGAACTTCATGTTTCCTCGCGTTGGAGCGCTCTGCTCCTACATGAGCTGCATTATTCATGTCCCTTTGCAGATGTTCTGGTTCCGACCATCGCCGCGGTTCTGGTCGCGCACACACAAACCGATCCAGCCGGCCTGGTTAAAGCGGAAATGGGCCGCCAGCATAATTAACCGCGACTCAGCTGATTAAAACATGGGAGGGCAAAACCGAGGCTCGACCCAGCTGCTTCGGAACCAGAGCCGGGAACTGGGCCCAGTAGGGTCCAATAGGAAGCACTAACTGAAATGATCACCGATGATTTAATTTCTGAATGGATCTCTCCATGCTGACAGAAAAAGTATTCACACCCACTAACAGCTGAGTCTCTGACGTCACTAAGCATGGCCTTTGACCTGCTCTGTTGAACTGATTCATTTCAGATGGTGGAGGATTTAAGTCCAGACTTTGACTAGGCCACTCCAAACAAGGTGGTGTTTTGTTAATTACAGCATTGAATAATAATCAGCCAACATGGAAACAGTAAACGCAGCATTGCACAGATCCAGAACCGGACTGGACTCGACCCGGTTCAGAACTGCCCCAACAGGCCAGGAGGGAGATGCCTTACTGGGCCCGGTGGTTCCCCTGTGTTTGCTCTGGTTTTGGGTGTGGTATCCGCTGGCCCGTCTCTCCTTACTCAGCTCTGGCTCACTGCTGATGGAACCGGGCCCAAAAGGTTCTGACCAAAGTCTGGAAAAGTTCAGGATCTAAGATTTCTATAGTAAATATTCATATTTCTAGAATTTATTCTGGATCCTTTTGCATAAATAATCCATATGGCATTAAAACGTGGTGGACCCAACGGGACCTAACTGGACCTAATTGGACCCAACTGGAAGAAGTGAGAGGGAGGACCAGAACCTGAGTTGAGACGCGCTGCTAAAGGATAACAGGTCTAGAATGCAGAATGGTTCTGGTTCTGACCTAATGGGTCTAGAACAGGGGTGGGCAGTCCTGGTCCTGGAGGTCCAGTGTCTTCCTGGTCCAACACACCTGGATCCAACAGCTGAATCTCCTCCTCAGTGCAGTCAGGTTCTCCAGAGTCCTGATGAGTCCTCATTACTTCGACACTCAGATGTGTCGAAGTAGAGACACCTAAAGGTTGCAGGAGACCGGCCCTCCCCTGCTTTAGAAAGAGTTGAACAGAACGGTTCTGGTTTTGACCCGGCCCTCTCTCCCCTGCAGTCAGTGACAGCTGCTTCAAGAACCTGGCAGAAGACAGGAGTGGAGTGAACCTGAAGGACCTGGTCCACGACCCATCACTGTGAGTCCTTTCATGAACGCCGGCGCTACGCGCCTCCACATTCTGACCCTCACTGTCGTCTCCCCCTGCAGGCTGGGAGGAGTGATTGCAGCCTACAAAATAGTTCCAGATGAGATCGAGGAAATCAAGGTACGGGCTCCTTGATGTCTTTCAGATGCTGGTTCAGGAAGCGGAAATGTTCCTGACTTGGTTCTTGTGTTTCCTTCCATGCAGGAAACTCTTCTGGAGTGGTGTGATGAGCAGGAGCTGAATCTCATTCTGACCACAGGAGGAACTGGTTTTGCACCACGAGACGTTACACCAGAGGTACCAGTACAGGCCAACACTCCCTGCTTCAGATGAACCCACCGTGACGGTTCCCAGTTCCACTCACCAGCAAGTCCACAGGCTGCAGCACCAACCAAACATTACTGTGGCAGAAACGATCCTAGTAGCATGTCGGAAGGCTGCTAGCATGTAGCCAGGCTGCTAGCATGTAGCGTGTAGCCAGGCTGCTAGCATGTAGCGTTAGCCAGGCTGCTAGCATGTAGCAGGTGGCCACGCTGCTAGCATGTAGTGTTAGCCAGGCTGCTAGCATTTAGCACGTGGCCAGGCTGCTAGCATGTAGCATTAGCCAGGCTGCTAACGTGTTTTCCACCTCATCAAGGCAGCCATATTTGACAAAACTAGAAGATAACGGGTTCTTTGTAGCTTCATACTTGATTTTCTCAAATCCTTGGAGGCTAATTTGCATCTTTTTTCTTGCGACCCGTTTGTCGGCTCGGTAAGCAGGAATGTCTCTGAAATGTTTGTCCTATGAATGAAGTCATCCCACTGATGTTGCAGGCGACCAGGGAGGTGATCGAGCGAGAGGCTCCAGGGATGGCTCTGGCCATGCTGATGGGATCCCTCAATGTTACCCCTCTGGGAATGCTGTCCAGGTGAGGCTCATGAAGTCAACAGCAGCCTTGTGTGCGTGTGTGTGTGTGTGTGTGTGATGTACCTGCTTGATCTAATGTTGGCTCCTCTGCACTCATTCCAGGCCAGTTTGCGGTATTCGTGGTAAAACGCTGATCATCAACCTTCCAGGCAGCAAGAAAGGCTCCCAGGTGCAGTAGTAACTCCTCACAGTTCTTGTCGGGTTCTGCCACATCTAATGGGCTCAAAAGTGTTTTTACTGCAGAAACCCAGATCAAATGAGGTCATTTTCAGAAATATGAAGCCAAACCAAATGCAGGCGGCCATTTGAAGGCATTGACAAAAGCGTCGGTGGAGGTCGACTTCCTGCTGCTGTCTGAACTGGGAGAAGCTTTCTGGGCGTTCTGGGACTAAACATGTCCGTGTTCCTGCAGGAGTGTTTCCAGTTCATCCTCCCCGCTCTGCCTCACGCCATCGACCTGCTGCGCGAAGCCGCCATTCACGTTAAATCCACTCACGCCGCCCTGGAGCCGATGCCCTCCCTGCTGACCAATACGCACGCCAACACTCACACCATGGAGCGCGGCACCCAGTGCGAGGAAGAGGACGAAGACGAAGAGGACAGGAGGAGAGGACGGCACAACCTCCACCAGCACCACCAGCACGGCTCGTCCCACATCACTGTGGCTGCTATCGCCGCAAAGGTGAGCTGGCTGGCGCTGGGCCCCATCAGTGCTGGACCCCATCAGAATTAAACTGGAAACTAACCAGTTGCGGCAGGAAGGTTGAAGGTCCAGGTTTACAACGAGTTGCTGGTTGCCATAACGACCATATAGTCATGTTTTCATTCTGTGTTCATTCATGTGTTTCACTTCTCATTCATGTGTCCGTGTGTGTGTGTGTGTGTGTGTGTGTGTGTTTGTGCGCGTGTGCTGGTCAGACGAGTCATGCGACGGTCATGGCTAAGGGCGCCCCCTACCTGCCTGGAAACACACCTGCCCCTCCCTCTCATTTCACCTGTTCCCATCAGGTGAGCTGCAGCCATCTTCCTCTTCCTCAGCCGTCCTGACCTGTTACAGTTTCACTCCTCACCTTCAATTATCAGGGAAACGCTGCACCTGATTGGTTGGGGAAAACATACCTGGCTGATCACCTGAATCAAAGCAGCAGGACGATTCTCCCACAATGCACTTCTCTGTTTGGGTTCCTGAGTTACACGGCTGCAACAAACACTGGTGATAAATGAACCTGCTGATCTCCACCAGCTATTCAAGGCAGCTATGAAGAGATTCAATGTTAGAAACCAAATTTAATGCAAAATTCTAAAATAAAACCATAGAAATGTAACTGAATGTTTTTACAGTACAGTATAATTATCTGCATTGAGTAATTAGCTCATAATTAGCTCATAAGCTCAGGCTAGGAGGAGTTTGAAGAGGCCATGGAGAAAGACTTCAGCACGGCTTCGAGGCGATTCTGGTCCACCATCCGGCGTC